ATGTTCATAGATAACAAGAACTGCCATCCTGAGCCATCATTAAACCCTACTTACCTGACTCAGCAGGAGAAACTGCTCTTGAGTTTTGTAATGACACACACTATTCTAGCCATCTTGGCTATCTGTTGTCCAAGCCTTCAGTAAATGACACAGAGTGATCTTCTAAGCAGAAACAAAACAAAAAATCCGAGGATAACGGCAGGAGGAAGTTGTAGGCAGACGATGGAAAATGTGCATCAAAACCGTGAGTACAATACTTTCTGTAGGGAGGAGCTCCGCAGCTGTGTGTGGTAGTCAGGCAGTGCTGCTGCTCAGTGTCCCTACAAGTTTAGCATCTGCTGGGCAGGTAGGGAGCTTAGTGACTTAGTGTCCAGTCCCGTTATGATGGACACAGTGGCACATACATATAGTCTGGTCCTCAGGAAGCAGAGATAGGGCTATTGAGGCTAGCCTGGGGTACATAGTGTTGAGTTTATAAGGTAGTCTGGAGATGTTAGCAACAAGAGTGAAGGACCTTAAACATACTGTAGACTTATGTCAAACTGAAATCATACTCAGTGTGCCCCATTTCAAAGAGAATGATGAACAGATGAAAAACTACCTTTGGCTGGGGTGTAGCTCAAGAGTAGAGCGTTAGCCCCCGATTTTCAAAGCCCTGGCTCAGGATGCCCAGCACTATCTGGGAAAACAGGCTTTGGGGAAACAAGTATTTTCTTTGGGGCTGAGAGATGGGTCAGGCACTACAGTGTTTGCTGTGCAAGTGTGAGGACCGAGGTCATCCCCAGCAGCTAAAGTTAGAGCGTGTGCCTGGAGTCCCAGTGCCGGGAGGCAGGGGCAGGAGGATTCCTGGGGCTTGGTGCTCAGCCAGGTTAGCAGAATCAGTGAGAGACCTTCAAAAATAAGGTGGAGAGCAATCAAGGAAAACGCCCAGTGTCAACATTCAGCCTCAGTATATGCACGCGTGCACACGCATGCACAGACACAGTATATGCATGCGGGCACACGCATGCACAGACACAGTGGACAAAAAGCATCGAAGTTGTGTGAAAGAGCTCATGACCTCTCTAACACTAGTGTGTAGCCATTCTTAACTATACATTGCTACAGTGAGGATCCCCCCAACCTAAGTACAGTCGGCAAAACTCATACCCTGTCACAGATGAGTCATCAAGTAATTGTTCGTGCCTAAATCAGCATTGACTCTTTATTCAGGAGTGTATTCCGTGTGTGCACAGAAGCACAGTCACCACGCTATGCTAGTGTGTGAAACACCTAATGCATGTAAAAGGCATGAAATAGCCTAGTGGCTTATTCACTCAGCATTTATTCTATATTTTATTTGTCACACACTAGAGCAGGTTCAGAAGTACATAGATGACTATGGACCCTTACCTTCGAGGGGGTCCAAGGATTGGTGAAAACAGACCAATTTCAACAGGTATGGCTCTGCCATAATACTGGCCTCCACTGAGAACACTAAACATGTTAGACACTACGCTAAATGTTTTATAAAGGATGAGCATCCTTAATCCAAAATACTCCAATCCTTCAAAGGCTTCATATATTGGAGCATTTTGAATATTCAAGTCATATTTTTCCACACCAGACTTCAGGTTCTATACACCATATGTTAAGACACAAAAGTTGAAATCACTGCAGAGTAATGAGTTTTGTCTAAAGAAGGAGTAAGGAGTAAGCATTTTCTAGGTCAGAGTAGAGAAGAAAAGAAGTCATTTTCGATAGTGAGGGCATGTTCAGACACTAGAGCAATGATCAGCCGCTGTGTTGGGAAATCCAAGAAGACAAGTCCCAGGAGCACAGACTGCAGATGTGGACAGAGGGAAGAGCGTCCTAGAAGATAAGGTAGGAAGAGTAGATGTGATCAGATCACAAGAAGACTTCACTGCCAGCTGAGAGAGCTAGATGGTGCCCAGTAATCTGGGAATGACCACTTTCAGATCCTGGGTGGGTAACTTAGGTGTTGAGATCTAGAAAACCACACTGGTGGAGGGTCAGTTTATGGCACTGGTGCTTAAAGGAGAACAGAAGTTGAAAATTCAGATTTGGTGTCACCAGTACTTATTATTTCTGTGTGTGTTCGCCGAGTGAAAAATGAAAAGAGAAACTGAGTATGGGGTCCCACACCTATAATCCCAGAACTCAGAAGGCTGAGTGAGTTTGAGGCCAGCCTTGCAGATGGTGAGAAGCCAGATTTAGCTGTCTCAAAAGAGAGAGAGAGAGCCAATGATACAACCCTTTGTAAACACCGGGGTTTCTTTGCAAATATCAATGTTTAAGGTAAATCTAGGGGAGAATATGCAAGAGAACTATAAATACCAAGTGCAGTGGGATAAATACAGAAAAAGCTGTCTTCGGAAAAGAGAAACAAGCCAGAACAGTGAGGGTACAGTGAGTGAGACAAAGCCATTGAGTTTTGACCAAGATAATCTGATAATCCTGTCAAATAAGATCAGGGCGCTGAGAAACAGCATTCTGGTTCTGACCCATTGCTGTGGCGAGTCACTGCGACACAGCCACCTGTGAAGAGGACTCATGTGCTGTATCCTTGGAGGTCACAGCCCATCACTCCAGCGAGTCAGGGCGAGAACTCACGGTGGGAACCATGGAGGAACTGCCTTAGCTAATGTTCTTGTTATATATAACCCAGGCCCCAGCTGCCTAGGGATGATACTGCCCACAGTAGGCTGGACCCTTCTAGGACAATTGATAATCAAGACAGGCCCCCACAGACAGGCCTATGGGACAGTCTGATCTAGGCAATTCCTCACCTGAGCCTCTCTGGTCAGATGTCTGTGGGCTGTATCGAGACAACGATTAAAGCTAACTAGGACACAGAGATAATAAATTTAGTGGAGAAAATTGACTTCATAATTACAATTCTTATTTAAAGAATAAAGTACATTTTCTCTTTATTCAAATGGCATGTCAATATTGCATTATTATTTTAGCAAGAGTAATGGGAAACTGTGAGTCATAAGGTACAAAGATATTATCATAATACCAAAAAGAGTATAAAGCAGATTCAAAACTATTTGAATACTAAGAATAATTCTGATATTTATAAATATCATTTATAAATATTAATGAGTTTCTACTGTGTGTCAGTATGCTACACACTAGGAATTCGGTAGTGAACAAAATAAGGCACTGCTATTGTTTTATGGCATTTAATCTCTTTTATCTGTAGAAATATAAAAGGATCAAGAACATTTGCAAGGTAGATGTGGTTTAGGTTGGTATGTTGGGGTTTTTTTGTTGTTGTTGTTTGGTTGGTTGGTTTTTTGTGTTTTGTTTTGTTTTGTTTTGTTTTGTTTTTGTCTGATGTTGCTTTTTTGAGATAGGATCTCATGTGCAGCTTGCTGGCTGGCTTGACAAAGTAGCCAAGTCTGACCTTGAACCTTTGGCTGCCCTGCCCCCACCTCTGAGTGCCCAGTTTACCTGTTTATGTGGTGCTGGAACAGGACCTGGGTTTTGAGTCTGGTAGGAAAGCTCAGCTGAGCCACGTCCCTGACCTCGGTTAGCACTAAAGTGTGCTCAGGTTAAACTTTCCTTTCTGTTGTGCGTGTGTTGTTTAAAGATTCCAGACAACTAAGTGTCCTTCAGAAATGAGACTCCCATTCATCCCTGTTTTCTTTTCAGAATGTTCCAGAGAATTTACAGAAGATGGCAGAGCATAATCTCCTGCTTCATCTGAAAAAACTAGAGAAAGAAGGGAAAATATGTATGTATGCTTCTGAATGTTAACGCATTTACTACTGGCATTCAGACGTTTTTGCAGGTGCACGAGTTTCACCTTAAAACAGCAGCCCCTGAGTCCTCCCTAAGTGTCACATTCAGGGGAGAGAGACCCGAGGAGGATCCAGACCCTCCTGCCCTCGGGGCACCAAGGCTGTGCACTCGGAGGATGGCCTCTTCTAGACATGTGGGACACCTGAAAACAGGCACAGTCTCAAGTGTTAGTAAAAACAGTGACATCAGAGATAGTGACGCGTCCTATAATTATTTCCTTATGGTAATTAATTTGTTAAATTAGGCATTCGTATAAATGTTTAGTCCCTAAAATTGAGAAGTTTGCCCAAGCTTGAATGTTGTTGAAAGCCTCAGTCTTGTTTACACACAAGAAGAAGCTCACATGATAGTCATCAGCAAAATCCCATTCAAGAATGTGGATTTCTTATTACAGAATAGTTGAAAACCCAGTTGGACATACTTAGCCTTTGTTTTTCTTTCTGGTTTACTTTCTGCAGTTCACACCACAATGCCTGACAAGAAGTGGAGAGCTGTCCTTTAGTGTCCAGCGGGCGAAGCTGGCCTGCTTGCTGTTAGAGGGTGGTATGTTCTTTTAGCTATAGATTATTTATAGAGAATATCGAATGTGGGACTTTAAATAACCCTTGATACCTTTCTAAAGTATGTAAATTATATTGTACATCTGTAGGGCAGGCTATTGATGTAACCTTGGACTTGGAACATTTTACTGAATCTAGCACTTTGTCAATTTCCTATGGATTAAGTAAAATGGTTACTTAAGAATAATAAAATTTGCACAGTTCAAAGTAGTTACTCCGTGAGTTTGGATATGTATTAGCATTTGCCAGTGATACTGTTTTCTTCAGTCGGCAGCACAGATGTCAGCAGGCTCCTTTTCTTCACTGTCTGTACCTTTTACATACCAAGTTTATTTCATGCTTTTATCAATTATATCATTTCGGTATTGATTCTACAGCTCTGTGTTATGTTTGTTTTCTTACAATGGCATCCATTAATGATTCATTAGTTTATCATTGAAAAAAATACTAAATATACAAACTTGAAATACTGTGTGATTAATAATTATTTTTAAAGATTTATTTACTTTTATTTTACGTGTATGGGTATTTTGCCTGTGTGAGTGTCTGTGTGTTACATGGATACAGTGTGAACAGAGGCCAGAAGAGGGCATCAGAGCCCCTGGAACTGAAGTTCCAGATGTTGTCAGTCACCGTGAGGGTGCTGGGAACCACGCCTTGTTCCTCTCAAGACTAGCCAGTGCTCTGAAATGCTGAGCCATCTCTCCAGACCCTGAGTAATTATTTTTGTAATTCATTGGTACAACTATCATGCTTTGCACATTTAGATTTTAGTACAGAAATAATCATCAGTTTATATATAAGTTATATATCAGGAAATGTTTTATTTTAATTAGAAGAATTAAAGTAGGCCATTTAAAAATATCAATAACATTCTTAAGTAATGGTTAGATTAGCAGTGGTGTGTAGTAATTTCCTACAAATTGAAACATTCCATTCTGGGGGGAGGTTCCTAAGACTCAGGAAGTAAATTAAATTTATAGGGCTTAGGAAATAAATAACTTGCAAATCTTAGGAGTTTCCTGAAATTTTAATTTACTAAGTCCCTCCCCAAGGTTATCTAAGCAATAATGATGGCTGGGGAGAAGGAGCTTTGCCGCCACTTGGGCTCCCTCCAGGTGATGCAGGGGAGCTGCAGGAGCCAGCACAGCTGCTGGAGTGGGCTTCTCAGTCCTGCAGCTGCCTCTGGGTCAGCCACCTGCCTAAAGGGAGCTTCACCACATACTGTAAGTAACCCATTAAACTCAATGTTCACTAAGCGAGGCTTCTGTAAATTGTTTCTCTTGTCTGTCTTTCTCCTCTGTTCTGTACAGACTTCACATCTTCACGGAAAATCCTGTACAGTAAAATATGGTTCAGCAATGTTAAATCGCCCCATACAGGTGCAAGCTATAATACTAAAAATAAGTTCAGAATTCTGAGTGTATATTTCCTTACTCTTCCTTTAAAGTAAGATTTCAATTTATAAACAAAATCTGTTCTTAGCACCTTCACCTCCCAGCATCTTTATGCAATCTTAACACATTTCTTCTTGTTCCGTGGAAGTAAGTGTTTCATACTACAAAATAGCTATAAACGGAGCAGTTAAAAGTCAGTGACCCGATTCACAAATGGACAGTTTCCCCAAAGAAGACGTCTAAGTGAAAAGACGTTTAGCATCACTCACTAATCAATACAGGTCAGAACCCCGGGTACTGCTTCCTGCCCATTTGGATCGCTGTTGACCTCCAAAAGTAAGAAAAGACAGCTGCCGAGGAGTGGAGGACGTGGAACCTTTATATGCAGCTGACAGTGCCAAAATCATGTGGCCTCCGAAAAATAGGTGGCCTCCTCAAAAAAAATAAAACAGAATTACAGTATGGTTGAGCATTCATCTTCTGAGAATCATTCCAAAAAGCTGATTTAAATGGGTATCTGTGAAGCTAACAGAAAAACGTCTTAAAAACAAAGGAAAACCTGACATATACTGCACCGTGCATGAATTCTGAAGACAACACTAAGTGAAATAAGACACCAAAGACAAACACTGTGATCCCGCTTGCCTGACAACAGCTGAGTGCGGACACCGAAAGTAGAACGGTGAATTCGGTGATTTGGGGAAAGAGAAATGGAGAATTACTCATTTTAGCAAAGGACAACATAAAAGTTCTGGGCATGAATGGTGTTACCAAGAAGTATCCCTGAAACAATCAGTAATCTAAATGTCCTCCATAATACCACCACCAAAAACTAAAAAAAGTGTGAGCACATATCAATACAATTGAGACAAAGAGAATATAACTTTCTTGGTATGTGAATAATTAGCTTACCTCTTACCTTGCGTCCCGTCATTCCCAGAGATGTGAATATAAACACCATCCAAACTGGTCAGAAAACTCACTCTGCTCTGCCTCCGTCCCTCATGTCCAACTCTTCCCTGGTCCAGCTCCAGAATTCATCCCTCCTACAGTCGCAGCTTCTTAGTCCCAGCCATACTCCTGTCTTCCTGACCCAGTAAAATGCCTGCTAACTCTTAGCTCCGTCCTCTGCTCTTGAACAAGGCTGAGGGAGAAGATAAAGAGGGCATTTTGAGTTGAGGAAATCTCATTTAAACATGCATACACCTGTTACATTGCCGTGGCACACTTCAGATACCGCACATTGCAAGTAGACCTTTTCAAAGAAGGGGAAGGAGGGGAAGCTACTAAATCTATTAGTCATTTAAACCTAGCAATCGAGCTCTAAGAAAAGCGGTGACATACATTAAATGCTTTGTGCTGAGGACTGTGCCAGATACTGAGGAGACAGAGGTGAACGGAACAGCATTTGGACTTCAGAGTGAGCTCATCGTCTTGTTGTCAAGACAATGTTAGCACCGTTAGGTTTGTTTGGAGCAAAGGAAGAATATATAACCTGGGTGAGTTGTAGACGGCTGCTAGTGGGGGCCTGAGCTCAGTTTGCACAAAGCAAGTGGTAGTCACATGAAAATGCAGTGTTTGTTTCGAAAAGTGTTCCAGTGCACATAAACAGACAGAGAAAGGCATCCTGTGGTTGAACTACTTCATGTAGCTGGAATATATGGGATTTATGATTGAGGTCACAGGTCACAGAGCTACTCAGAATCTCATGAGAGCATTAAAATCACAGGAACCAGTGTACGAGAGTCACAGACAATGGCGCCCAGCTGTAATCCCAGTGGTTCTCAGCAGAGTGAGGCCGGGGGGGGGGGGGGTAGTTCAAGGTCAGCCTAGGGCATATGGTGAATTCCCTGTCTCTAAAATAAGTGGAGATGTATGTAAAGTAAGAGTGTATATATGCCTATGCTTTGCACAATGGACTACAGTAATCTTGAGCTGTAGGGAATACATTCCAATACCTCTAGTGGAGAGCAGGTGGTACCACAGATGCGACTGAATCCTGCACACACATCTCCAGTGAAGTTTGGTTTAGAGACAGGAGGTTAACAACAAAGTAATACAGCAGAGCTATATCAGTGTAGTGTAATAAAGACAGGTGCACAGCCAGGTGTGGTGACCCATGCCTTTGATCCAGCGCTTGGGAGGCAAAGGTGCATGGATCTCCATGTTTTGAGGCCACCTATAGAGTTCCAGGCCAGCAAGGGCTACGTAATGAGAAAGAAAGAAAGAAAGAAAGAAAAAGGTAAGTACTCTCTGTCCCCCTTCTCCAGGTATCTTACTGGGTTTTTTTTTTCTCTTAAAAGAAGCACTTACCAGCTTCTCATGGGCTTAACTAATTTGCCAGCATCTCTACTTTTACACTTTGAATATGATTAAGTAAAATAAAGGTTACCTGCATACAAGCTCTGATTGCAATCCTGTGGCGAGCTGGTGATCCAAGGGGCCTCTAAGTGACTAACAGTCACAGCACATGCAGTGCATAAATGGGATGAAGGATGAGTCACGTCCTGAGCCGCCCAGAACAGGACAATAGGAGATCTCACCTCATTACCCAGAGCAGCATGCAGTGCAGGTTCCAGGGCCTAGCATGGTTAATGGAATTATCTAGTATGATTTTGCCTCAGTAGCAAGTGTTTGCCTGCTGCTGTTATAGCAATGCCATCCCTGTTTCTGACACTTTACTTACCCATTCAGTGTAGCCAGTAGCTTTGAATTACTCATTTCTGTTTACTCAAGACTTTATACAGCCCTTTCAGCACCTCTGCCCTCTCTCTTTTATAACCCTAGGTTGTTTGCAGCTCAGTAGCTCTTCATGTCCCAGTTGGAACTGAGAGGAAGACCTAAGCAAATATTGACTCTTGAGTTTTCGCCATGTTCTCTTACATGTTCATGGCCGGCCTATGAGATTGCCGTTCCAAACAGCCATCCAGCCCAGAACCTTACACACATAGGCACTGGGCAAGGTGAAGTTTGCAATGCAGATTGGGAAAGACAAAAGCAGAGAGGGGTTTCAAAGGAATGGAGGATGGCAGATGTGAGTGCTACTTAAAAAGAGAAATAACACTCAGGGGAGTTGGGGCGCGGCTCAGGGGCCAAGCATGAAAACCTTGATTTTAGATTCCCAGCGCCCACGTGAAAAGCCAGGCATGAAATTCCACCTGTAATTTCAGCATTGGAGAAGCAAAGGCAGAAGAATCGTTAGAGTCCACTGGCTAGCCATCTATCCAGTCAATGAGCTTTAGGTTCCATGAAAAACCCTGTCTGAGAAAAAAGATGGAGAAGAGATCGACGAGGACACCCAGCATCAACCTCTAGCCTGCACACCCAGTCAGATGACCCCGTGGACACATTTAAAAGGAAAAGAAATAGTACCCAAACAGCTGTTCGATCTCTGAAAATGGGAGTCGGGTAGAAAGACGTCTTAAGGAAGCTGTGGATACCTGGTTTGACCCTGAGTAGATGCTGATCAGCAGTAGAAAGGATGTAAGGCGCAGGTGACTCTGCACACCACGTGGAAGACAGACGAGATGGATTTCACTGCACGTACGAGTCTGGAGTGCCTGGAAACGCCCAGCATGCACACAGAACACAGAGATGGAACTAAGCAGACGAGGCGTATTTTGTTGTGGAATGGAAGCTCTTGCGCTCAGGCACGAGGTTGGTCAGTACAGGTAACTGACCATCAGGGGTGAGAGGGCCAAGAACAAGAATCTCTCACCTTCCCATCTGTTCTGCAGATCAAAGACTCTCGGTATATTGGCTTATGCACAAGATGGGGGACCTGGCCATGGGCAACCCTGAGCTGCTACCCTACCAACAGGAATGGCTGGCTCTCCAGCTTCAATATGAAAAAGTCTTAGGGAAAAGATTCAGTGACTTAGACAGGCTCCCTACCCATTCCTCTGGTCAGTCCACGTGGCCCCATGTTAGGGGCATGCGTACCCTGATGGCTGAAGTGAGGAAGGCGCCCTCCCAGGAACAGGGTCCCAGGAAGACTGTGGACAAACACTGTCTGCTGACCCCACAGGTTTCCTTTCTGAATGTGTGAGCAGTGCTTGTAGACCAGCCGTATGCTGTAGCTTAGCGGCTGGGCAACTGCATCTTTTTAAAGACAGGGTCATTCGTGTAACCCAAGCTGATCTTGAACTCTCGCTGTAGCCCCTGGCTGACCTGGAACTCATCCTCAGGCCTCGTTCGGCTTCTGAGTACTGGAAGTACAGGCATGTGCTGCCCTGCCTGGCCCTGCGACCTTAGTCTCGAGTGTGTTTCTGTGGGACTCTGAGCATTTTATCTCTAGGTTGTCACTTCAGGAAAAGGTTTGTGAAATGTCTAATAGTGGAAAACTAGAATCTTGGGGAAAAAATGAGAAAAGATTCATGTGCTAAGACTCTTAATTGTGTCATTTACCAGGGCCCCTACCTCCAATTCCACATGTTAATCAGAGGGACAAATTAGAATGAAACTTGCTGCCAACTTCTGGTCAATGTTGGAATAGTAAGGTTCTCATTGTTGGTCCTTCCACCCCATTCTGGTTTTAAGGTGTTGAAATATTTTATTTTAGTTGGGGGAAAAAAAAACAAAAAATATTTTGGCTTAGTTGGGAATTTGAAGTATTAACCAAGAAAATCAGTTCTACTTGGGACTAGAGAGATGGCTCAGTGGTTAAGAGCACTGACTGCTCTTTTAGAGGATTGGGTTTGATTCCCAGCACCCACATAGTGGTTCACAAACATTTGTAACTCCAGTTCCAGGAGATTAGATGCCCCCTTCTGGCCTTTGCAGGCACTGCATTCATGTGGTGCACAGACAGACAGGTAGATACACATACATAGACATAAATAAAAATAATAAATCTTTAAAAAAGAGAATCAGTTCTACCTGCATGAGTAGATAAATTCGGAATGAAAATGAAAACCTGGTCATACCTACATACATACATACATACATGTGTCTGTTTCTTTTTGTTTTGTTTTGTCTTTGAGATGGGGTCTTGTGTAACCCAGGTAGCCTGGAACTTACTATGTAGCTGAGGACGACCTTGAACTTCTGATCTTCCTACTTTTACCTCCCAGGCACTGGAATTAGAAGATGTCTGGGGTGTCATACCAGTTGTATGCTATTGGGGATAGAACCCAGGGTCTCAAGCATGAATGACAAATGCATTTATTTCTATATGAATACTATCTTGAGAAAAATACAAAAATTTAAAGAAAACAATAGCATTGGTTACATCTCAGAAGAACTTACAGGTCCCTACAAAAAAAAGAGCTAGCACTGGAAACTTTACAGCATACATTTATTTAGCATTTTGAAATTTTAATTGTTTTAAATTTAAAATATAAAGAATGGAACATTTTAATCAAAATAAAAGGCCCATTCAGGTATAATGACTACTTCCCATAATACCAGAACTCCAGTGGCTGAGAAAGGAGGCCACAAGTGAGGCTCGCATGAGCTACTACTTAATACTTTATTAAGTGAGCAGACAAACTGGTTCACACCAGTTCTGTGAATCTACTGAGAAAATTCACATCCCACACAGTAGAAAAGCACAACACCTGTGGGCTAATAGAACACGAGCCACCACCCTCTGGTTACTGAGAGGCTCGTGAATGAGGTCTGGGTCAGAGATGGAGTGGGAAGCCCACACTGAGGCTGCAATTAAAGAAGTAATGGGTAAGTGCATGTACCGCCTTGGAGTGGAGGAAAAGTGGTGGGAGACTGAAAATGACTTAACAAGGAGCAGGCATCATTAGGGCAGTATGCCACAGCAAGGGGTCCAGGTGTCTGAAAAAGGAAGGTAAATATATAGTAAGCAGTTTTCCTTGGAAATTTTACTTTTTTGCTACTGATTATTTGTAGTAGATTGGCCACATATTTATTATTACTCCTTTCTGAGATCCATTTAAAAAAAATAATCAGTAGGGCTTTCACTGTAGTTCAGTGGCACAGCATTCAAGCGTGCCTGGGGCTCTGGGTTCTGTCCTACACACCACCAAACAAAACAACAGCAACAGCAAAATAGCAAGTATGTAGAGGTTTATATAAAAGGAGAAGCAAAAATCATAAGCCTGTGTGTTAATTAGTTTTCCATCACTGTAACCAACTCATAAGGTAAGTCAAAAGAAGAAATGGCCTGAGTTT